CGTTCGTAAAAAATATTATTTTAACAATTTTTAGTAATGCAGTATGCATAAAAATAAAACTTAAAGCAAAAGACAACTTGATAGAGAAGGAAGATTCCTACAAAACTAAGAGTCTTCAAGGTCAATAGCTTCAACTTGTTCTCCTTCATCAGTGAATATCACAAGACCTTAGCTAAAGCCAAAGCCAAAAAACCATTCTTAAATAAAAATTTCAGCAAATATACTTTTTTAAGTCATCAATGATAGCCTAGGAAACACGGATACGAATATGGTGATATGGGGATGTAGATATGGCGATATGTCAAAATTTAAAAAAGTATGATACGGGTACAGCGGGGATACATTCATAAATTTTTTTTTTTTTTTTTTGTGATTTTAATAATGTAATATGCATGAAAATAAAACTTAAAGTAAATTAATAAATAAAGAGAGGGATTCCTATTAACCTAAAAGTGCTCAAACATTCATAAAACATCCAAAACTAAAAGCAAAAGCAAAAGCAAATGCAAATTAAACATCATCATCAAGCACGAAAATGAAGATTTCGAAAAACCCAATTCTATCAAAAAGGAATTAGTAACCAACCTGAAAGCAGCAGCTCACTGTTCTAGTTTCTCTAGATCGTCTGAACCCCTAATTAGATCAAACGTGAGAGAGTGAGAAAGCGAGAGAGAAGTGAGAGAGACAACAAGGATACATCAATTTGACAAATTCTATTACTTAAGTTCTCACTATATTCCTCTTATGAAAGAACTAAACAAAACATTATAAGTAATATGTAACTTCGAGTATCCGATACTTCAAAATTAAGTATCCGATACTTCAAAATTAATAAAAAATTAATTAAGAAGTATCCGATACTTTTAAGAAGTATCTGATACGTATCCGCGAGTATCCGAGGAGTATCGGTATCCGATAAGTATCCGATACGGATACGTCACCCTTTTTGAAGTATCCGTGCTTCATAGTGTTTAGGCATGAGTTAAGAGTTTGTGCTCAAATGGCTTTAACCCTCTTTTGAGGGTTCCTTCTAGTCCAATGTATGATCTCTCTCATGTTTTAAACCATCCATTGGTTGACCCCTCTCCCATTAGAGAACTTTTCACATTGGATTTAACCGGTTAAAGGACTAATTGGTAAGCTAAAATGTGTAAATAAGAAATGGACCGAGTAAAACATGTACAAGATAAGCATTTGTGTTGCATTGCATGTGTGTGGATTGGACGTTAATCCAAACACAAGAAATGTGGGACGTTTCATACTCGAAGTGATGAAATGTGTCACATTTCTTGGTCGCCAACACCCTTGATCATGCATGATGGGGTGGAGGCTCTTTGTGTATTCTTTGTGCATTCACTAAGCTTGTACAAGCTTGGTTTTTGGGCCATCATGCATTGAGATGCTTGGTTGGTGGCTTGAGAGCCGAGTGCCACACTCCTTTGAGCTTGAGACATGATGAGGAGAGTGGCAGTACACACATTTCCTTACAAATACATTGTCTTGGCTCTGTTGTTCTCTGTTGTAGCAAAACCAGCATTTTGGGAAAGGAGGTAGCCGACTGGCCAGTTGAAGTGGTCGGCAGCCACTTTTGGCCACCAGTCCATTTTGGTGCAAAAATGTTCCTGTTTTAGGGCAAAGGCAGTCTGAAGTTGGTACAATGTTCAAAAAATAGAGGCAAGTGCAAACAGAGACAACCGACGGTAAGGCGATGGATTTCCGAGATGACGCCAACCGAGCATGCATGTCTCCCTCACCTGCGAGGCCATTTCACTACTTATGATTAGATTGTGTAATTAATCATTCAATTTGTTTTGTAATATTTTAATTAGCTTAGCATAGCTATTTATTCAATTGTGTTGTAATAATTAATTAACTAGGATAGTTAATTAGTTGGTTTGTAATAGTTAGCTTAGTTTAGCTTTGCGTAGCGTAGCTAGTTAGCTTATTTATTCAAACCCTCCTTCGCGAGGGCATAATGTTGTAATAAGGGTGCGTGTGTGTGCATGTCTTCCAACTCCACTTCTTTCTCCCTTTATTTAACCGCTTTCGATAGTTAGTTTAGGGCACGTTTTGATTAGCATACCTTATGCTTTGCATGTTTGCATCATTCATTTGTCTTGCATGCACCGGGCTCAGCGCATCATTCAAACTGCATCGTACTTCAATACATATTTGAATACGTGTATCAATTGTTGCATTCATATGCCATCTTAGATAGCCGAGCCTATTTAGTTGCATATTGCATGTGTTGCATTAGGCATCTTGTACAATTTGGATCATACATATTTCTAACTAGCTTTTTGTTTTGACTCGGAGTACACTGTAAGTGTTTACGCTTTAGCATATTTGCATGAGTGTAAGTGTTGCCATGACAACATGTTTGCCATGAGGCTATTTGCTAAAGTGCTAAACTGCATGAATGCCTGTGGATGAAGGCTGTGTTGCCTGAATTGGAACAGCTCGATGATTGTGAGTTTTAAACCCGCTTTGCAAAGTGGCAAAATCATATTTTAAAGCCCACTTGAATGTGGCAAATCCGCGCTTTAGCCCGCTTGCGAGTGGTACTTTCAAACCATTTTAAAAAACAAACATGAGTTGTTTTGTTTCAATTCTCGTGATTGAGTCTATACTTGTATGCTGTGCGCATCACATAGTAAAGTTAGATTAATAACCGAAATAAGAACACATGTGTTTATAAAACAACATATCATGCTTAGTAAAGGCCGATCCTTTGATCGGGCATCGGGCGAGCGGGGGTGCTCATTTCAGGACCTTCCCCTCTCGTACCCAAGTTCCCGAGCCGAGGCAACTTTGGTGATAACGGACACGTGGCCTTTGGCACGAGTCAGGGTTTCCTAAATTTCCCAAAAATAAAATATTTAGGTGACAACTCTGTAATCTGGCAAAGCAGTCCATGTTTGGCGCTTTTTTATTCAAAATCGATTTTCCAAAACGATTTATCGGATTTGGACTCTTTGGTGTTTATCAGTCTCACATTGCACTTTGTGAGATTAGATTCAGAACCGTGACAGGAGTCCGAACTGTAGTAAGACCAATTCGCGCCTCTCCGAAAAGGGGGGCGCAGGAAGAAAGTTGGGTCTACACCCCTCCCCCCCATTCCCAAGACCACACCCACCCCCTCTATCGCATAACCAACCGACAACAGCCTCCCCTCCCTCCCCTTTCCTTCTTGGCCATTCCCACCACTCCTAATCAACAAACGAAATCTCATATTGATTCCAACTGCAGATTTGTACATTTCATCACCTCCAAATTTCAATCTACAAACCCCACCTACAACGAATCACATAAAGAGCGAAAGGAGAGGGAGATGGTGGATGAGGGCTCTATTCATCACACAGTAAAAAGGAGAGGGAGATGGTCGATGAGGGTTCTGTAGACTATATCACACAAATTGCAAATCGCAACAAATCGCACAATGAGGGATATGTTCATCACCATCCAGTAGCTCCCACCGCTCCAATGTCGCCGAAACCCTAGTATCAAACACATCCTCACACGAATGAGGTGGAGACAGTTTTGGGAAGGGAAGGAATAGTGACCGGGCAAGAGGAGGGAGATGGTAGCCAGGGAAAAGGAGGGGTTATGGTGGTTAGGAAGGAGAGGGGTAGTTCGCATTTGGGCTGTGCAAAATACCGCCCAATTCGCTAAAACCGCACCGATCCGCATCAATCCGTACCCGCTCTAACCGCTAACCGCAGTTTAAACTTTAAAATTTATAATCCCCCAACCGAACCGCTCCGCTCCGCTATAATTAATACATATATATTTTTTAACTTCCAATGAAATATCAATGTAAAAATGAGTGTGAGAGAGATTTAAGATATGAAATTTATTGCAAGTTAGTGGTTATATATATGAAACATATTATGTAAAATTACTTTTATGTTATATATCTAAAAAATATTATACAAATTAATGTTATGTATTACACAAATGTATAATAATTAGTTAGAATATTTTCCAATCCGTCAATCTGTTAAAAACCGCCCAAACCGTAATTTGTCAATTCGCTAACCTGCCATTCGGTTTGTAATTTTACTCTTAAACTGCCTGAACCACACCGTGCACACCCCTAGTCCACGTTACGGGAAGAAGGAAAGGTTGGGGTTGCATGGATGGGGAAGGTGATAGAGAGGGTGGCCGATGGTGTTGATGGTCCCAATGATGGACAAGTTATGTAGAGATTAATCCATTATGCACAAGTCAATAGTAGGACTATGATGGATGGTTCTAGTAATGGTGAATTATTGATAAAAGAGTGATTGTGATTTCGGTATGCTTAACGTGAAAATTAAAGCTTAAAAAGAATGAATGAAGAGTGATACATGGGCAACAAAAAAAATTTAACTGTTTAGACAAGGTCTGGAGATTGATGAATGACAGAAATCAGTATCATCTTAAAAGTTCAGAGTTCAAGTTCAAAATTTTAAAAATTCAAGGTTTGATTTGTTACAAGTGCCAAATTCTAGGGTCTTCTATTTTTTATAATTTCCCCTATTTTTTAATTATCTCTATGCATTGGATCTAAATGAAATTAAAAGAGAACTTGTTCACATATTTATGAAGATTTTAGCAATTGTTGTTTAGAACATTAATATAAATTGATTTATGGTTTAAATTAACAAACTTAGGGTTCACTTTTATTAGCGTTTCAATATATTTACTTCTTTTGATTGTGAAACACATTTTGGGTATGGTTCTAACTTCTAAGTGAGTTTTTGCACTCCAAGAATAAAATCCTAGCTCCGCCCTTGGTTTTGAACATTAGTTGTATTTTATCCTAATTTATGATTTGTTTTAGTTCAAATTTGAAAGAATATGAAAATACATGCCCATTGAAAAAATAGACATAATACTCAAATAGGGAAGATGTGTTGACTTACTGACCAAAAACCACAAAATAATCACCAAAAAATGAAATTAACCAAACCAGACCCATTCAAGTGAAATTGACACTTCAAAAAGATCTAACGTACCTAGCACGCTTGGTCTCTTGTTCGCTCTTCATTGGTAAGAGACCTCCATCAAAGACAAGAATAGGTGTAACATCATAATGCCGCAGCAAGTTCACTCTGTGCATACAGTAGTCAATATGCCTGAAATATCAAACACATAAAAACGTGCATGTTAGATTTAAATGTATCCCCACCATCCATGGCAAAAAAAAAGTTAATTGTTTCGTCGAATCTTATTTCATTATTGGAGCAAGGAGTACTTGCTAACAAGCCAAATACAATATCCTTTCATCCCAATGGCAGAAACTCCTTGCGTCACAATCTGAATTTTGGAAGGACAATGGAAAAAAGTACAGGAAAATACTTTAAAAACTCCCCAGATATGATCTTTTGAATCATTACCCATTCAATTTTGCCATTCATCCATGGAGCAACAAGCAAGCTTTTTCTATTCATTTACGTTGTGTTTGGTTCATGGATTTGGAAGGAAAAGGGAAAAAAGTGTGTGAAGGTGTGTAAAATCTAACTATCTTTCATCCATCTTTTCTCTTTCCTTTTCTAAATCCCCATCAAAATCCACGAACCAAACACAGCATTAGTATCTCTTTTTAACCATTGAACAACATCAAATCTTTTGCAACTCTTCTCTTGCCACAAACAGAAACAAACAACAAAAAAATATTATAAGCTAATCATAGAATCAAATTCAAATCAACATTAGAATTTATTCAAACCAAAAACCCATTTTCACTTTTATATTTCAGTTTCAACAGCTTACTTCTAATTGCCACTCCACAAATCAAAAATTACATATGCATCAAATAATATAGGATCAAAGGAAAAATTCGGAAATGAGGGTGTGAAAGTAAAAAAAAAAAAAAAAGTAGATATGGAAATGGATAGAAAGAAATGTACTTGGAGGTGGGTTGGGCGTTGCAGAGATCCTTGCTGCAAGAAAGGGCACCTTTGTGGAGCCAAGAATAGGTGTCAATGGCGACGGAACAGCCATTGAGGTCCTTGCTGTGGATTGGGACCATTATTGATTTCAACAGGGGCAAAAGCCCTTGTATCCCCATCTTCTCTCTCTCTCTCTCTCTCTAGCCCTCTAATCTCATCTAATCGGGTCTCTCTTTGGGATGTCAGAGCTCAAGATCAATGGGATCGAGCTCCGACCTCGATGAGTGCCCTAATATGGAGTTTCATCTCCCAAGCCAAAGGGGAGACAGAAATGGCGGGAAGATTTTGGGGGAAATAAAATGCAAATGTATGAGGATTTCTTTCGGGCGGGCTAATTACATCCCCCTGAATGTCAAAAATAAAAAAATACAAATTCATAAAAAAAAAAATTATAATTTTAATATATTAAGGCTAATATTTATAAAATTTATCACTCATTTTAATTACTTTTTCAAAACTCCATTCATGTGATATTTCTATTTTTTTTTATAAAAAGATAGAAATTAAAAAAATAAAAATAATCTTAGGACAGTAGAGTGGGGAAAAAAATTACAAAAATATAAGGGGTATAAACTCATTCTGTTGTGGAGTGCAAGCTAACACTATATTTGGGAACCTAGAAGAGAAAGGAGAAGGAAGGATTACTTAAGTAATAAGAAAAAAGAAAAGAAATTATTGTGATTTCTCTCATTTTTGTTTGGATAAGGAAGAAATAAAAGAAAAGAAATGATTGTGATTTCTCTCATTCTTGTTTGGTTAGGTTTCATTAAGAGAAAAGAAAAGAAATTATTTTATGTTATATTATCAAAATAACCTTTTTATATTTCCAATCATTTTATTTCTTTTATTTTTATAGGGACAAAATTGATATTATAAAAATAGTGGTTTCTTTTCTCTCTCAATCTCTCCACTTTGGGTGCCTCTATTTACACACCACCTTTTATCTTAAGTCACACCATTTTTTTAAAAAAATATAATTACAATTATATCCCTCAATCAAATATCTAAATTACCCCTATCTTCTTTCCTAAAACCCTAACAGCCACCGCTTACCTCATCGAAAATGTGTCGTTGCCGCCATCTCTCCCACATCGACAGCCATCTCTCTCTCTCTCTCTCTCTCTCTCTCTCTCTCTCTCTTTCTCTCTCTCTCTCTCTCTCTCTCACATTCGAGTGCTTTTAGCCCTAATATTGCCTAAAAATTGAACCGAATCTCCTTTGACCACCACCATTTTCTTCTTTCTCTTTCTCTTTTACATCGAAAAACCAGACTTCGCCGTCGATAGAGCGGTGCTTGTTGGCCGCCACTCTGCCGTAGGCGACTAATTATTTCTTTAGAACCACTCCGAGCCCAGGAAGATTTGTTCCAGATTTTTCATGATCTATGGATGAAACACCATGATTGAGCTTCAAATCTCCATGATCCAAATCTCTGAGAAGCCAGTGGAGGAGCTGTTGAAGAGAGGCATAAATGGCATCGATGAAGTGGAGGCAGACCATCGCACTCTAAGAAGTCAATGGAGCTCCAGATTGCTGCTCTCTGCCGTTGTCATCACTACCTCCCATCATCATTGCTGCCTCTCACTCTATCTTTTACGGTTGTAGGGAACCACTAACAATGAGCCATACCAGCGCTGGCGACAGAGTTGGGTTACAGGTGATAGTGGTGGTGGTGGTGGGGTATGTGACTAAGGGTAAAAATGAAATATTATGGTGTGTATTGAGTAAATTTATTATTTATTAAATTATTAAAATGTGCCTTGAGTAGTGGTGTGCCTTGAGATGAAAAGTGGTGTGAGTTTCTCTCAATTTCTTCTCATTTCTCTCTATTTAGGTTATCCAAACAAATAAGAGAAATACATATCACTCCATTTCTTTTCTTTTCTCTCCAAATCACTCAATCCAAACATAGAGTAAAAGTTATGGGGGTATTTGTGCTATTTTTTTTTTAACTTTCATTAAACAGTAATTTTTCCTTTTTAAAACGCATGAACGAGTGTAGTCAGATAAGCATGTTTGATAAAACTCAACATTGAAAATTTCAAAATTAAATGTTAACACTTGATTAAGGAAATTCTATGAGTATGTACCATACGCATCCCTAATTACGATATTTGTGATCTTTAGTTATGATCTATTGGAGTATTAGTCATGACTATTGTGATGTTAGTTATGATATTATTTTAATTATATCCAAGAGTTCTTTGATTATTTGTGATGTTAGTTATGATATTATTTTAATTATATCCAAGAGTTCTTTGATTATATCCTATGTGGTGTTTGGTTATAACTTCTTCTTCTTTTAATTATGGCTTTCATAGGATTAAATTATGACATTTGTGGTAATCAACTAAAAATGTGTACTATAGCATTATCGGTTTGGTAATATTTATATTTATATGTTTTATATATATTTATAGAATTTTTAAAAATTGTAAATATAAATTTGTTTGGTTTTTATTTTTGTTTTTAAAAAGTTGTTAATAGCTTAGAGCATCCCCAGCGGCCTCTCCAAATTGTTCTCTTACCTATTTTAGGGGGTTGGAACTCCTTTATACCTCTCCATCAGCTCCCATATAAGCCACCCTAAACTAATATTTGCCACAGTGACTCCCTACAAATAGGGAGTCACTGTAGCTCCCTTATATCTGACAAAATTGCTTCGCCAATTGTCCACCCGGACGTTCGGCCGGTCGACCCCCTTAGTCACTGCTCTCAAAAGAAGACACCAAAAGTAGACACCAAAAGCACTGATAGATGAGCTTAAGAATGATGTCAATGGGTGATGAGCCACTGTACCCAATAGTTGTTCTGATAGATGAGATTAAGAATGGTGACATTCAACTTCGGCTAAATCCGATTCGGAGGCTATCAACAATTGCACGTGCTCTTGGGGAGGAGCGAACGCGCAAGGAATTGATTCCATTTTTGAGCGAACACAACAATGATGATGATGAAGTGCTTCTTGCTATGGCAGAAGAGTTGGGTGTGTTTATTCCTTATGTTGGCAAAGTAGAGCATGCACATGTTTTGCTCCCACCTTTGGAAACTCTTTGCACTGTTGAGGAAACCTGTGTGAGGGACTGGGTTGCTGAGTTCAAATTTATCTGGGAAGTATACATCAATTTCTCAAGACATTTTCTATGTTGAAGTGGAATTGGGTATTTTCAATGTTCATATCTTTAATTTCAATCCAAGAAGAAGATGAAAAAGTGAAAGAATAGGAAAAGAATATTTTAATAATATTATAAGAAAAGAATAGCAAATTTATTAAGAAAAGTAAATGAAAAAAGGGAAAGAATATTTTAATAATATTTTAGGAAAAGAATAGGGAGTTTGATGGAGAAAGTAAATGAGAAAATAATTCTTAAAATAGGGAATGAGTTTTTTAATAATATTTTAGGGTAAAATTTAGGTAAACTGTTAGGGATGCTCTTACAAGGCCTCATTTGGGAAGTAAGTTGGGACTAATAGGTTAAAAAGTCAATAAAATAAAATGTCATATCTAAGCGATAATTATTTTACTTTTTCTCTCATAAAACTCCAAAAAAACCAAAAGTTCTTCACAAACAAAACTTTTTTAGCCAGGCTAAAATAGTCAAAAAATCAAGCTATATAGTTTTTCCCAAATAAAGGCAAAATTTATTAAATTTTATTTTGTAAATTAAAAAAAAAATTGTTTATATTTAAAGTGTTATTTTAGTTATATCTAAGAGTTCTTCAATTATACCTTATCCAAAATTTTCAAGTTAAAAAATTGTTGAAAATTCAAGTGTTAAATTAAAATAAATTATTTAACATGTTCAATATCAAATTTAAAATTTATTATTTTTAAATTCTATTTTTGTTACTTTTGTTATTCTACTGATGGAGATGTCGACAACTATGGTGTAGTAGTTGTGGTAGTTGTGGTAGTAGAATGGTAGTAATGGTTATAACAGTAATGGCGATGACGACGGAATTAGAGGATTGTGGTAATTATAGTTGTGGTGGCGGTAGTGGTAGCAGTTGTGGCAACAATAGTAGTAGTGGTGGTGATGGTAATGCCTATGGTGACGATGGCAATGCTAGTGGAGATAGTGATAGTGAAAATTGTGATAAAAGGGTTTTGGTGTGATGGTAATAATGGTGATAAGGAAAAGTCTAGGAGCACAACTACCAAACACAAAATATGACACATATGTCTCACATGGGGTGGATCTCACATGTAGGTTCTCCCCATGTGAGATATATGTGTCTCATTATGTGTTTGATATTTGTGTTCCTAGCGTTTCTCTAGTGATAGTGGTGGTGGTGTAGTAGTAGTCGTAATGAAGTTGAACTAAACCTTTCTTTAAATTGCATTTGAAAATTGTTGAGTTTATCAGATAAAATACCATTGTTCAACGGATGTGTGTTAAACACATATTGTAAAATAATGAGAATTGATATGAGTTGCGCTTTGTGCAATTTAAACATCATGATTTTAAATTGGTTGTTGTGGTGAATCCAGATAATGTATATAAATGATGATTAATTTTGCTAGGGAGTCCTCGGTAAAAGACTAAAAGCCCGCGTGGAGTAGGTACCCATTTATCCTTCTGATTAGTCCTGGTAAAGTGAGGGTGATTAGGTGGTACTTAGCGATGACAACTAATAGAGTGGAGCTTATAATAGTCCACTGGTTGATTAGGTGATGGTCAACTATGACCACTGGCAGAGTAGTGCTTATGGTAGCCTACTGGTTAATTAGATGGCTCTTAGCAATGACCATTGATAGATACATGTACCTTGATAGGATTCATCGAAATAAAATGATGATTCGGATTATGAAACAATATTTCATCAAAATTATGATAACTTGTGAAACAATATTTAAGAATGATTTGAGAAATCATAGAGCATCCAATACATATGTCCAATCATGATCATGTACCTATGTAGATGCATATTAGTTGGTAGAAAGATTATCCTACTAGACTATATGTTTACCCTACGTGTTTAAAATCTTTTTTAGGTATTAATGACTAGACACGATAGTGAGTGGCCTTGGACTTATGCAAGAACTAGATAAAGCTCTCATGAGTTTTTGGCCAATGACCTTTTTGTTTTATAAGCCGAGTGCTTTTATATTTTGTAAGTGTTAATCCCTTTATAATTGATGTAAGCCTAAGAACATTTCTTTTATAGAGACCCTAACTTTTGTAATTACTTTTGAAACCTTAACCTTGAGATTATTTCAATTAAGACCTTGAATTTTTACCTTATCGCAAATTAAACCCTAAAATCAAAACGCATGACAATTGAATCCATATAAACTCTAATCAATTTCGGTAGCTTAGTAATCATTTTTTTAAACCCTAATATTACTTATTAAACCCTCTGATTATAGATTAATTTCTAGTTATCATCGTTTCCACTTTTTATTCTAAAGCGAAGCAGTGCAATCCGAATTATCTTTCCTATCTCTATTTTAATTAATTCTACACTTGAAATAGGTATTTTAATTTAGTCCATACCCTCATACTTCATTAATATTGCAAATTCAACCCAAATTCATTACTTTACATATATATACTTGTACACTTCATTATAATAATAAGGGCAAATTACATTAACAGTCCCTATAGTTTGGGACTCCTGTTACTTTGGTCCCTGACTTTTCAATTGTGACACATTTGACCCTGAATTTTGAATCTTTTTCCAAATAAGGACAATTGAAGATACCATTGTTTAATTTCAAGGGCAAAATCGTCAATTTAATAAAATATAAACTAATTTGACAAAAATAAATGTCAAAAAATATTTTAAATTTTTTAAAAATTATTTTTATCCACCAATGAAAAAATTATGTAAAATTGATAAAAATTAATAAAAATTACATGATTAATTTTTAAAAATTAATTTTATATGATCCTCATCCAAACACATAATAAAAATTAATTTGGTAAAAAAAAATATCTAAGAGATTTATCAATTTTACATAATTTTATTTTTAGTGGGTAGAAATAATTTTTAAAAATTCAAAAATATTTGTTTCACATTTATTTTTGTCAAATTGGTTTAATTTTATCAAATTGACGATTTTACCCTTGAAAAATCTAATGATATCTTCAATTATTCTTATTTGGAACAAGATTCAAAATTCAGAGTCAAATATATCATAATTGAAAAGTCAATGACCAAAGTGACACAAACTCCAAATTATAGGGACTATTAGTGTAATTCACCCTAATAATAATTTTTCACAAATACCGACAATCTTTTAAGATGTATTTGTACAAAAAAGGTGGAAAAAAAAAAAAAGGTGGAAAATCCCCTCAAATATCACACGGTTGGCCTACACCTCATGGAAGATATGTGAAGTACTTTTGAAACATATCGCTTGAATCATGGAAGAAAGTTTGACCATAAGCCCTGAACCATGGAGTTTGTCTTGTACCAACCATCAATCTAGTTCCATTTAAACTAAAAGGAAAATTACCAACATTCCCCTCGAAGTTTGACTAAAATACTGATTCCCTCCCTGAGGTTTGAGAAATTGCATCCCGCAGCCTAAGGTTTATATTTGCATAACAAATTGCCCCATGAGGTTTATATTTGCACAACAAATTGCCCCCTCATTTGTTATGCAAATATAAATCTCAAGGGGCAATTTGTAATTTTCTAAACCTCAGGGAGAATTCGTATTTTAGTCAAACTTCGAGGGGGTGTTGGTAATTTGCCCTAAACTAAACTAGAACTAAATAATGATTTAAACCATATTTAGACTACTTAATCAACCTCTATTTCATTACTTTCCAACCAATGGCACTTTAGACCTTTCACCACTTTTCTCTTATAAATAGAACCACCCCGCTAGCATGTTTTACACACTCAAACACATACTCACACACATCCATGGCTAGAAAGAAAGAGAGGAGAGCAAGTGTGAGCTTAGAGGAAGAAAGGAGGAGAAGAGATGAAGCATTGTCCCACCTTAGCAACCCTTAGCAAGAAAGTAAGCCACACAACACTCTATTCTTTTCTTTTCCCTTCTAAATGCATGATATTATGTGCCTATAATATAGAATTCATATGTTATTATATAGATTTCATGTGTTTATATAGGTGTGATCGATTATTGTTTTGTGTCCATTCTTCATTGAAGTAATCTCACAAATTTTAATTCATTTAATGCATCATTTTTAAAAGCACACCTTCAAACTAAATATCTGAGTTTTTTGCATATCATTAGAAATACTTTAATCATATGAGAAATAACACCCTGAATAATACTATTTACAAAAATCATACTATTATCTATTTTAGAATACCTTAAGCCAAATTAGTAATCTTATTATATAAAATAGTTAAATTAATGGTTGGAAAGGATCGTAGTTAATAAGTTTTGGGAACAAACTTTTATTTAGAAGGAGAGAAATGTGACACTTCAAATGTTTGATTAATTTGATAATGAAAAATAGTAATAAAATAAAATATTTAATTTTATAGTTATATGTGGTAAAATGTAATTTAATTTAAAATTAGGGGACATTGTGTTTTACCAAAATATAACAATGTAATTATTAGATTAGTTGGGCCAAAGTGAAATTTAGGAGAAAGGTGGCAATTTGGTTGGAGACCTCCAAATTGAGCCACCTATGCAAGTTATGATTACAAAACACAGGTAAGGATGTGAGTCATTGCTTGGGCTCAAGTATACAAGGAAGTTAGTAGCAAGCAAATGCAACAACAATAATAAATCAGCAAAGTAGTAAGCAAGGAGAGAGGCCTCAGAGAGATCAAAGAAAATAGGAAATAAATAGTAAGAATCAACATTAAGGTGAATTTTATTATATTTTGATTTATGATAAATTATTTTATGTAAATTATGTTTTACAAATTATATTAGTTTTTTAAGTATATTATTTATAAATGAACCCTATTTGCTTAAAAAGGGAAACCCATGGATAAAATTGTTTATTAGATTTTTTTTAAGCAATTATTTATAAGTACCACCACGAAGGTCCCATGCCTTGGAGACTTAAATAACCATTGGCCATCTAATTTGTCACTTTAGTGACCTTCTAATTGTCACTTTGGTAACCCTCTAGCATGGAGCAAAGTGTTACACTATTGTGGGAGCCACTTCTAGAGTCTGTATGAGCCACCTTTTGAGTCCATATATC